ATTTACCCGCTGACGCGGTGCCGCACAAAAGGCAGCGTTATTCGAGTCACTTGTTGAAAGGGAGGGTGTCGGCAAGGTGTCTTTTTTGGCCTGGCAATCGGAACAAAATCGTCAAAAGTCATTTCAAAATAGTTTACGGAGTGAATTTGCTCAACATGTGTCCCCCTTCACTGGCAAAAATGGAATGCTGATTTGACAATCAGATTGTTAAAAAATATGCCCGACATGTTTCAAATGTACATTTTACAATCGTGGGAAGCTGAATTAGCATTTTTCGCAGTAGAGAGATGAGGGCAAGAACGCTTGTGAAGCTTCTTGTTAACATTGGCGGATCCAGCAATTTGGAAACACCGGATTTCCTCCATTTAAACTTATGAACATGGATCGATTCTGGAGGTGACAGGTGTTCCGACGAGAATCGATTATTGGACATAGGTTTAAATGGAGAGAGTCTGGTGTTACCAAATTGGTGAACCCGCCTCTGTAAGAGAGTCTGAAGCAGAATGAGAACCCAGAAAAACATTGATACCGGATCCTAATCAATAATTTTTGATTTGACATTGTATTTTAGAGATATACTACGAACACGTATGAGTGCCAGATGCCAGAATTTAACATATCCGTCGTACCATCAAGTTTATTGCTGATCACGAAGTCGGATTTCAAGAACGAGGCATAACTGCGGATAATGGGCCACTAGACAAGGTACGTATTTAAGCATTCCAATACATGTTTCTTAACCAGAATTTCACGTAGAACACAATTCGCGCAACGAAAATTACTGAAACCAACTCCTAACGCAGATATTAACATTTTTATTTCACATTGGTCACCAGGAATTTGAACTGCCCGCTCACAAGAAACTCAAAGCTCTACGTGAGTCAAATCGCGCACTACAACGGTTTCAGCAAGCTTCTCAATCGAGCAATGTTCATTACCCATCATGTGTTTTTCAAACTATAAGTAATTTGCTATAGCTGAGCCAAAGCGTCAAGATCGAGGTTGCCAAATTTTTTCATAGCAAAGACGTTCATGATAACGTTTAGCGCGCGATGTGAATCACGCAGAGCATTGAGTTTTTATGAGCGGGTGGTTTCAATTCACGTACCAAGAATCATTAAATATCTTCGAAAGGAGTTGATTTCGGTAATTTTCGTTGTACGCGTCGTATTCTACGTGAAATTTTGGTTACGAAACATGTATCGGAATGCTGAAATTTGTACCTTGTCAAGTGGTCCATTGGAGTTCATTTTCCAACTGCAATCTGTTGTTGCAAAATTTTTGGGAACTGCCATCTCTGTCTCGGTTTAGAAACAACGTAAGTGACATTTATTTTCTTGTGCACATACGCGTTTTCAAAAGTGGGTTAGGAAGTGTAGTTCCCAATTGCAAAATTAAGTCTAATTCAAATTACGGATTATTTAAGCGTGCAAAATCGAGAATCTTCTATCGAATATGAACTAAATTTTGCATGGGAAACTACAATCTATGATTCATTTTTAAAACGACACATTTTTTCATGGATGAAGCAGATTTTGTAGTTCCTCATTGCTAATTGCAGCCCTAATGACATCGGAATACGACAATGCGCCAAACTAAGTGCTGTCCTAATCGGAAGGATTCGTGCAGAAAACTGATTGATTCTCTTTCATCTGAAAAGATAGGCAGAGGCGGACACCTTAGCGGTCGAATAGTTAGTTAGTTAGTTAGTTAGTTAATTTATTAAGAGACATTCAGCAAAATTCTCTAAAAAATCGGAAGAAAAATGTTCACACATTTACACGAAAATTCCCGGTCAAACCATTAGTCAAAGGGAAGATGACAACATCTTGTCATACGGCATTCTTCTTTACCCATGGAGTAGAAGAGATTCCCGGTTTGCGTAACAGATTCCCTGATTTACGCCCGATTTTCCGAGAACTTTTTCATCCCCTGATTATTCCCATTTTTTCCAGTTTGTCCCCGGTCCTAGGCACCGCGGAAAATCAAAATCCAGAGAAAAGCGTCCCTGCGCGGCGAATTTTTTTACTGGTATTCGCTGAAAAAATATCCAAGTTCCAAGTTGACTGTTTACAGGAGTCTCCGTTGAAGAGGAACAGAAATCGAGTAATCTTGCGAGGGAAATGGACGGACTTGGACACTTTAGTGAGCCGGTGCGCCGGGGCGAGCGAACTATTGTCGGCGGAACTGATACTAGACTCGGGAACTTTGCCGCTCCTGGAAGTTGGAGAACTTTTACGAGAGCTCGAAGATTCACTTGGCC